GGTAGGGTGGAAGGTGGTCTTTCTTCTCAGGTGGATTTTCTTCTTCTTGTTCTTGTTGTTCTTCTTCTTTGTGGTTTAGGAGCTTTTTCTACACTGTGGACTTATCTTCTTATTCTTATTTCTATTTAGATCATTCTCCCTTTCTTATTCTTCTCTGCGATTCACAACACTTGTCGGAAGATGAGGCTACTCAACAAATAAAAAATATATATATATTTCTCTTTCTTCACGGCCAATTTTAATATATATATAGATATATCTATTTATGTATACTTCTTCGAAACCTTTTTGTTACCTCTAAAGAGACTGACGAAAGAATTCCTTACTCAGTTTCCTAATAATCTTTCTCATTTAATATCACATATATTCATTAAAGCATCGGTGTCTGTATTAGTTAATATATTTTTTTTTACATTATATACACATTTATACAGAGATCTCGCCCAAAACTTTGAAGAAATGAAAACTGCGGAGACGTGTGTGTTTCACTTTATAGTCGGGGGAAGTTGAAGTGGTGACTGTCCGTTCTTGAAGATTATTATTGTTATCTTTTTGTTTTTATGAAAAGCGTTGCATCTATTTTTTTTTTTTTTTTTTGCCTCAGACCCAGTAAATTGCTCGCGGTGGTCTAACTCAAACAAGCAAGTGCTCTGCTGACTGTAAGGAGGATGAATCAATAGTTGTGGTTGTGGTTGTGACCTTTTTACTATTCTTTATTCTTTCTTGGTGCGTTTTTTTTCTTTCTCTCGAATAGGTTGAACGTTTCTTATGGTTTTTAACTTGTTTTTGTTTTAAATTTGTAACAGGTCGATGTTATTGATTTTTTTCTCTCTCTATTATCTATTTATCCTTCTCTCCTTAGACTTTGTGCTTTATCTTTATTGGGCGTTCTTCTGTGTCGTTGTTGCTTTTGTATCCGAGGAACGTTTTTTTTCTTTTGTGCTTGAAGGCCGAACGAACAAAGAAACGAAGATGGTACAGTAAAACAGCAAGAATAGACGACGATCTGTTCAGGTGTCTTAGATCCTCCTAAGACAAACCAAAGAGATGCGCAATGTTGTTGTTTTTGTTTCAGCTGTTGCAGAATATTTTTGTTTCCTCAGCAAAGCTCGATGAAGCTCACTCTCTCGCGCCACATGCACGTCCAAAGTGGTCGAAAACAGTTCCTCAATAAAATGAAATAAAACACAAGTTCTTTTTTTGACAGTGGTGCGAAAAGAAGCACTTGGCAGTACACTGATGTAACGACACTGAAAAATATGCAGACAGATATATATATATTTATATACCAGAGACTCAGCGAGTGTCTATGCTGTGTAAAAGCGATGTAAACAAATGCTTCCTTGGGATCACTTGCTTACTTGCTGCTTGCTTGCTTGCTTGAATGCCTGACGTCCTTTTGAAAAAAGTTATCCAAGATTGACTCCAAAGAGGGGCGTGGTGGTGTAGCTGCAGTGGTGGTGATGATTATTCTCTCTCTCTCTCTGCTTCTTCTTTATTTGAAAGGGGGAATAAAAACTGGGCGGGCTTGATAAAAAAGATGAGTTAAGGGTTCATATCTCTGTCACGGCACATGATGGCAGCTGTCTACGGCTGTTTGAGTGACCTTGTGGAAACGAGACGCAGACTCAACATAGGTGACGTGAGGTCACCATCAGGAGTCCACTGTGTTGCACCGCTTCGCCACCTCGCGTCGACTCGTTCTCCTACTCCAGCTGCTCCACACACCTGCAGGGGGGGAGGAAGGGGGAGGGGAATGTCAGGGAGGAAGGGGCGGAAGGGGGAAGTTATGGGGGGAGGGGCGGAAGAGGGAGGGGGTCAGGGAGGAAGGGGTGGAAGGGGGAAGGGGAGGAAAGGGTGGAAGGGGGGAGATAGGGAAAGGGGAGGGGGAGGTCAGGGAGTAAAGGGGTGAGGATGGCAGATGAGAACGGAAGGAGGAAAAGGGAGGGGAACAGAAGGGGTGGGGAGGGGGAGAGAACAAAAGAGAACTTTGGTTAGAAACGCTGGATATCGTATAGTTTGCTGTGATTTCATTATTTCCTACTTTGTGATTCATGTGATAACAATAGCAATGGTCTTGATAATGGCGATGAAGATTATTGCATTAATAATGATACTGGTGATAATAATCCTCATCATAATAGTGAATATCAAAATAACAATAGTAGTAATGAAAGTTATGCAATAATGGCACAGCAACATTTGCAATAATAGTCAATAGGACGATAAAATCTGACAACAATAAATAGAACAGTAAACGTCCAAGATTGATAATGATAATAAAAATTGCCTAAAATATAAAATATAAACATCGGCATCAATACACACAACGAAAATTATCCAATAACACCACTTTCGACAGATATAGCAAATACCAGATGAATTGCATAATAACAAAGAAAAATGCCAACTTGCAGAAGGATTTTTAGTATTACCTTTTCAGTTGTCTAACTTTATAGTGTTGATAATATAGTATCCTTCTCTATTGTCTATGCATGTGTGTGTGTGTGTGTGTGTGTTGGTTGTGTGTGTTGTGTGTGTGTGTGTGTGTGTGTTTGTGTGTGTGTGTGTGTGTGTGGTGCGTGTGTGTGTGTGTGCGTGTGTGTGTGTGCGTGCGTGTGTGCGTGTGTGTGTGTGTGTGTGTGCGTGTGCGTGCTGTGTGCGTGTGCGTTTGCGGTGCGAGTGCGTGTGCGTGCGTTTGCGTGTGTGCGTGTTGTTGTGTTCCACGACGTTAGACAATTCAAGAAATATACGCGTGCTCGAGTACTTGTGCGTATGCGTGTTAGCATGTGCGTATTATTCCAACTCCCCTCCCCCCCCCTCCCCCCCCCCCTCTCCCCGATACACCGTGCCCCATGACCCAAGTTGCATGTCATTATATCCCCCTGTATTGACCCGATCCGAAGGTCAAGCCAGTAAGAAAACGACCCTCTTTTGCCGGCGGGGAAAACAAACATACCTTCGCTTCTGACATTCTATTCCCAAGTGCTTTTTTTTTTCTTTTTTTTTTTACACGACGCTTAGATTCCCCTCAATGGAAAACCTCGTCATGGTACTCGGTGGTATATTCGTAATATCTTGTCTGTCCGTTTATTGATCTGTTTATTTCCGCATTCATCCATCCGTTCATCCGTCTAACGATCTACCTAATTATCTAAGGATCAGTCTAATTAATCATAATCTATTTAATCACTTCTGTTCTGATAATCTATCTAATTTTCCGTCTGATAACCTGGCTAATCAACTATCTATCAAAATATCTACCTGTATGTCTATCCACCAATCGGTCTATCTTTCCTTTCATTCATCTATCCATCCACTACAACCATCAACCCATCCATCTATCGGCTTATCAGCGTTCTTATCAATACATTTCCAAATCCCTCGTCATCCCCAGAAACACAGAAAAAAACATATATCACAGATCGAAACCCAAATTACGCGTTTACATAATCATTCAAAAAAAAAGAAAAAAGAAAAGAAGAAAACAAACAGTCATCCCATCGCCGCCATCTTCACATCAAAAAACAAAAAAGAAAAAAAAAGGGAAAAAAGTGTCATCATCATCCCATGAGCACCTCCTCCCCCCCCCCTTCAAAAAAAGAAAGGGGGGGGAGGGGGCATAATCAATATTACCAGATCATTAAGCCTTATCCTATGCCCCTTTCACATAAAAAAAAAACAGTCATCCCATCGCCGTCATCTTCACATCAAAAAACAAAAAAGAAAAAAAAGGGAAAAAAGTGTCATCATCATCCCATCGCCGTCATCTTCACATCAAAAAACAAAAAAGAAAAAAAAGGGAAAAAAAAGTGTCATCATCATCCCATCGCCGTCATCTTCACATCAAAAAACAAAAAAGAAAAAAAAGGGAAAAAAGTGTCATCATCATCCATCGCCGTCATCTTCACATCAAAAAAACAAAAAGAAAAAAAAAGGGAAAAAAGTGTCATCATCATCCCATCGCCGTCATCTTCACATCAAAAAACAAAAAAAGAAAAAAAAGGAGAAAAAAGTGTCATCATCATCCCATCGCCGTCATCTTCACATCAAAAAACAAAAAAGAAAAAAAGGGAAAAAAGTGTCATCATCATCCATCGCCGTCATCTTCACATCAAAAAACAAAAAAGAAAAAAAAAAAGGGAAAAAAAGTGTCATCATCATCCCATCGCCGTCATCTTCACATCAAAAAACAAAAAGAAAAAAAAGGGAAAAAAGTGTCATCATCATCCCATCGCCGTCATCTTCACATCAAAAAACAAAAAAAAAAAAAAGGGAAAAAAGTGTCATCATCATCCCATCGCCGTCATCTTCACATCAAAAAACAAAAAAGAAAAAAAAGGGAAAAAAGTGTCATCATCATCCCATCGCCGTCATCTTCACATTCCAAAAAAAAGGTCATCATCGGCCATAAGCCCCCTCCGCCCCCCCAAAAAAGAAAGGGGGGGAGGAGGCATGATCAAAGTTCCGGGATTATTAACCCATATCCTATGCCCCTTTCACATTAATAATAATAATAATAATAATAATAATAATAATAATAATAATGATAATGATAAATAATAAATAAATTAATAAAAAAGTGTCATCATCGCCCATAATTCTTATCCTTTATCCCTTTCATATTAAAAATAATTATGATAATAAAAAATAAAAATGATAAAAAAAAGTGTCATCATCGCCCACCTTCCTTATCCTTATCCACTTCCACATCCCTCTTCATCATTTTCTCCTCCTCCTCCCCTCCACCATCTCCTCAATCCTTCTTCTTTTCTTACCTCTCCACCCCCACCCCCCGCCACCCCCCACCCCACCCACGACGAAGGTCAGCTGGATCTCACCCCGAAGCCTTGTCCCTAGCAAGGTCATTCACATTTAACCGCGCGACCTTCTTTCTGGCCGTCGACTTTCGTCTGACATTTGGTCACAGATCGAACTGGATTTCATTTCGTTCTTCGGCTCGTAGGCGGATTTCTTTTCTGTTGGGCTGATTTTGTTTA